TAGACTCTTTAAGGGATTTATTATTTTCCTCAATTTTTTCTTCCTCTTCTTGTTTAACTTCTTCTTCTTCTTTTTCTTTATTATTTTCAATATTGTCCTCCGCTTTAGCGTTTTGTTCTTCTTCTTTTCCTTCATTATTTTCAACATTTTCCTCCATTTTAGCATTTTGTTCTTCTTTTTCTTCGTTTTCTTCCGGAGTTTCCTCCTCAGCTTCTGGTGTTTCAGCTACTTCAGCTTCATCTCCATTAGTTTGCTCTTCGGCTTCTTCCTCTGGTGCTTTAGTCATCTCTTCAGCACTTTCAAAGCTTTCTTCATCTTTATGAGAATTATTATTCGTATTCTCTTCTTTCTCCTCCTTGGGTGTACATTCTTTTGGGGGTAGGCTTTGTAATTTCTCTGGCGTGGAGAATTTCTCTTCATTTACAGCTTCTTCTGCAGCAACTGGAGCATTAGCTGTATTACTTTCCTCTTCCAAGGTTTCCAAAGCCGGCTCTGGAGCCTTTTTCACGGGGGATGGTGAAGGTGATCTGGTCATAGATCGAGTGCGACGACTACGACGACCAGGTGTACCCGGGGAGGGAGGCACGCCTAAAAATATTTCAATAAAACTCCGTTAGTTTTAAAACAGCATCCAAAACCCTACTAGAGACAGGCAGCATTAATGAGTTCAAGGATTTGTTAGCAGTTGTCAACGAGTTAAACTTGTCCCACTTTTATAGAAAAAGCTGGCAACTCTAACTTGAAAACAAGCCTAACACGATTTTTTCAATAAAAATTATAATTTTAACACAAAATTTGCTAAAATACTTTTGTTATTACTACACTTTTACTTACCTCCCTCCAAATGGGCGCGTAAACGTTCTATCAAAACAGCTTTAACACCTTTGGTATCCAGGCCACGCGTCTGCAGCTCATTACGCAGATCGACCACCTTCATTTTGTCTAAATTTGCCAAATCCATATTGGTTGGGCATTAATTGCTTTGCAAGACGCAAGCAGCAACACTTAAATTAAACACAACTTTTTTAAACGTTTATTTGTTCCAATAAAAATAATGTAAAACTTTAGAAATATTTTCACTTTTCGACGAGACACCGCATGTGAAAAACCCGACACATACAAACAAAATTCTTTCAGCTATTGAACGCTTGGATTTTTTTCGTCCTCTTTTTAGTTTAATTGCTTTTAATTACTATTTACTTTTGTTCTTAACTTTTTAATTATTTATGTGCAAAAATTTTCCTCTAAATTTGCACAAAATTATTGTTTATTTCCTTAAGTTTTTGCACAAATTCTTTTCCCGCGATGTGTGTTGTTTAGTAGATGAAGAACGCGACAAAAATTATTTTTTTTTTGCAAAACCAACGAGTGGTTGTTTTTTTTCTCGTCAATGGGGAAAAATGGCGGCCTTTATCTACAGGGTTGCATTTTTTACAAAATTAGAGATGGCAGTTGGTTGAAATAGTTTATCGATTATTTTCTTATATTAAAAATAATAATGAAAAACTGTTATATTTTTTAATAAATTTATTTTTTTTTTAAATATTTCTCATTTAAGTGTTTTGTGACACTAAATGATCGGAGGAATTTGCATGTTTATTGACATAGTTGGTTTATTACTAGAGTTGAAAGAAGTTTTTTTTAGATTTTACATTTTAAAAAAATAATAAAAGCAATCAGCATTATGTTTGCAAAAAATGATGCAAAACTAAACAAGTAAAAGTGCTATATTCGGCTTTGCCGAATCTTATATACCCTTCACCATAGTGTATTGAATAAATATCAATTTCATAAAATTTAAATTTATTTCATTTTCCGGCCTAGGTATATCATTATTATAGCAATAGCAAAACAAAATGAACAACAACAACGCTAAACGAAATAACCACACAAAAAAACAAAATACACAAGGCAGTAAAACAGTGTTGCTCAAACACATACCACCATAGACTACCATAGTTTTATTTGTGTTAGTAAAGCAGCAGAGAACAGAATTCAATTCAAAATAAAAGTATACTAATAAAATGACTACAAACTATAAAGTATATGCTAACTGTCAAATATTTATTACGGAGTTTGACAGCCAGCGTATATCAAAGTCTATATATAAAAAACTATCAACTGTTCTCTCATGTTCTCCTACATTAATTCGGCTTTCTCAAAATTGTGTTGTTGTATTTCTGTGTGTATTTTAAAAACGTCGCGCACAGACCTTGCTTTGACAAGTGCTGATCAGCAACTGATTTGATTTTGTTTTTCAAGTTGAGAGCAAACCAACTGATATTGCTCATTATAAAAAGAAGAAGAATTAAACCTATACTGTATGTGTATCAACTTAGCGTCAGCAGAATTTTCTTACCCTATCACGCGTGCTATGTAATGGCAATATTGAGCTTCTCTGCAGTAAAACCAACAGCATCCAAACATACGAAACTGAATACACCAAGAAACAAAAACAATATACACATCAGAGATACAAGCCGATGCAAAATGATCGGCGGCGGCGGCGCAACCATTTTAGGTCGGCGGCGGCGGCTTATTATAGAGAACATCGGCGGCGGCTGAATTGTCGGCTCAATTTAACTTTTTCTTCAGAAATTGACCTTATAAGCGTTAATTATAATGAAAAATGTCTGTATAATAGTCTGATATATAGAAACCTGTCTCTATATAAGTTTTTTCTGCAGAAAATGGACATTTATGGTAGTTTTCACTATTTTAATATTAGCACAATATTGTGTGGCAACTCTTTTCAATTTGCCATAAGAATTTAAAATAGTGGCAACTCCGTTCAAATTGGTGAAATTATTTTCTGAAATACATGTGCGATTCCAATCTTTATCAGCGGCTACGTTTACGCCGACTTAGCTTTTGAGCCGATAGAATTCGGCGGCCGCGCGGCTTGCAAAATATTACAGGCGGCCAGCCGCCGCCGATTTGAGCCGTCTCGGCTTATATCTCTGAACGAAACACTAAAAAAAAACAAAAACAAAATACAATGAAACCAACAGACATCCAAACATAGGAAACTGAATGCAGCAAGAAACAAAAACAATATACTCAAGGCAATGAAACACACAGCCATCCAAACATATGAAACGAAATACTCATTGAATAAGCAGTGTTGTTGTTGTTGTTTTTTATATCAAAGCATGGAAAAATTTGTCTTTTTTATGAAATTTTCAGAGGTTGTCTCGGATTTTTGCTTATATCTCCGGTATTTATGGACCGATTTTGTTGATTTTAAATAGCGATCTTCTCGAAAGCATGTCTAACAGAATTATTGAAGATTCGGATCTCGCCGATATCTGGGGTCCTCTAAAAACTGATTTCAACAAACACACAGACGGACAGACAGACAGACGGACATAGCTTAATCAACTCCGCTACCTATAAGGATCCAGAATATATATACTTTATGGGGTCGGAAAATTATATTATAGAAATTACAAACGGAATACAAACTTATATATACCCTTTTCACGAAGGTGAAGGGTATAAAAATAATGCACATGTACACATGCAAAATAAAAATAACCAATTTTGGTTAATAATAACCAAACTGATGGCCAATCATATCATTCAGTATATACATAATTGGGAGTTGAATGATGAATGAGAGTGTGAATGACGAATAATTTTATCATGTGAACGGAGTATTAAAAGTTGTATTCGCGCGATTTTTTCAAATAATTTTTCACTTTTTTTAATATTTTCTTTTATTTTATCCCACAGAGAAAAATTCCGGAGAAAAAGGCAATTAATTAAGTATTTAAAAATTATATTTTAATTGGTTGGAGTCTCATAATATAAATATATCGAATGAAAAACTGTGATTTTGTTAAAAATTGGGTTAAGATAATCATATTTTTTAATTTAAATATGAATATAATAAATAAACGTCGGAAATATGTTTATATTTTTGCGTTAATTTTTATTTTCGCATATTTTTCAAATGTTTTTTAATTTAATTTTTAATTTTTTAATTTTTTAAATATTTTCTAAATGTCTTTCAAATTAATTTTATTTCAAGTTTTTTGCAAAGAAATTAATTTTTTATAATTTTCCTAAAATATTTTATTAAGACTCAATAGATATGTATCTCTGCTGAACCCTTCTCTATCTCATAATTTTATACTACTCCAGCATAAACCTATTGGTCTGTCGAATTCCTGAAAGCATTTAATATTGTCAAAAAAAGCATTTAAATTAATTAAAATAGAATTTTAGAGTAAAACTTTACGAAGTAACTGTAGCATAACCCATAAAAGGAACTTTCATCCAATTTATTTTTAAAAAGGGATACTTTAGGACAAAAGCTCTTATTAAGAGAGTTTTCAGAAAATCAATTTACCTATAATATATGCAAGAATGAGCAGAAAAGCATTTGAATTAGGGACCGTAACTGTTATGACTTTTTTTATTATAGAAGTCACAAAATAAGTGTTATTTTTTTACTTTTATTTTTTTGAGCGGAAATAAAAGTAATTTTTTGACTTTTATTTTTTAGGGCAGAAATAAAATTTATTTTTTTACTTTTATTTTTTTGAGCAGAAATAAAAGTAATTTTTTGACTTTTATTTTTTCGATCATAAATAAAAGTTATTTTTTTGATTTTTATTATTTTGAGCAAAAATAAAAGTTATTTTTTGATTTTTATTTTTTCGAGCAGAAATAAACGTTATTTTTCGAGCAGTTAAAAAGTTATTTTTTGATAATTGGAAAATAAACGATTCTATAGCGAAAATTTTATATCTGCTCGAAAAAATAAAAGTCAAAAAATAACTTTTATTTCTGCTCAAAAAAAAACCTTTAAATCTGCTCAAAAAATAACTTTTATTTCTGCTCAAAAAAATAAAAATTTAAAAAGCATGGCATATTCTTAAAATTTAGTCCACGACGATCAAATAGTATACTTGGTATTGTTCTCCGATATTTTCTTGTGATTGCTTTTTTTATTTAAAAATAAACGATTCTATAGCGAAAATTTTATATCTGCTCGAAAAAATAAAAGTCAAAAAATAACTTTTATTTCTGCTCAAAAAAAAACCTTTAAATCTGCTCAAAAAATAACTTTTATTTCTGCTCAAAAAAATAAAAATTTAAAAAGCATGGCATATTCTTAAAATTTAGTCCACGACGATCAAATAGTATACTTGGTATTGTTCTCCGATATTTTCTTGTGATTGCTTTTTTTATTTAAAAATTCAAAAATAAATATTATTTTTAGCCTCTGATTTAAATATTTAGAAAAATTAATTTCTCCCATTCTTAAAAGCTTTAAAATATCAGTAAGAGAACGCCTAGTACTAACACTTCGTTTTTTGGGAAGCGGGTGTAGCTATACAGACTTATTTGTCAGGCAATCATATACGCTCTAAGAAATGAGATTAAAGTAAGTTTTTAATGCATTTAAACAATATATTTATATTTACTAAACTAAAAAAATTCAAATTTCGTTCACAGATATCCGAAAATGAAGAGCAATGGAAGGTCGAAGGCCAAAAATTTTATGACCGTTGGCAATTTCCTCATTTCCTTGGAGCAATAGATGGAAAACACATAGAAATAAAAAACCAAAAAAAAACTGAACATCTTATAAATTATAAGGGTCATTATTCAATCGTTTTATTGGCTACAAACGCCAATAATGAATCCTCAATGTTGATAAATTGGTACAAATGGCGCAATTGGCGATTCTATATTGCTAAAAAGCACATATTTTTATTCGAAATTAGTTGAAAATTAATTAAAAGTTCCTTGCCAATAAAATTTACCTAATAGTAATATTCAAGCGTCTTTTGTTATTATAGGGGATTCAGCATTTCAAAATTCTGAAAACATTATAACGCTCTATAGTTATTATAGTAAAGGAAAAAGAAAATTTAACAATTAAACATTAAAAAAAAAACAAATGTAATTTATCTTATAAAATTTTAAAAATATTTATTAAAAATTTTATTAAAAAATATAAAAAAGGAAGGAAATTGAAATTAAAAAAAAATAATTGAAAATCAAAAGAAAATAAAAAATAAAAAGAAAATTAAAAAAAAAAATAAAAATAAAAAGTAAATTAAAAAAAAAAATTAATTAAAAAAATTAAATGGACACAAATTCTTGAGAATTAAAAAAATAGTTAATTTATAATTACTGTTGTTTTTAACAACTTTTTTAATAAAGAAACATCTTAATATTTTAAAAATCCAATGGGTGAAGGGTATATTTACCAAATATACCTTTCACTTCTTAAACCAATTTTTAATAAAATCATACTTTTTCATTCGATGTACATATGTATTTATATTATGAGACCCCAGCCAATTAAAATATAATTTTTTATTACATAATTGTCTTT